GTGTGACCCTGCGCCTACAAAATGCCTCCGGCCGGTCAGCTGCTGTGCGGCACAGCGCAGCCCTCGCCCCCACGCAGCCCACAGTGCCTTCTCCTACCCTGAGGCCAGCACCCAGCCCTCAGGGTGCAGGTCCTCGCCCACCCCATGTCAGCACGGCACCGGGCACCTCTGTGCAGGGCACTCCCCTCCTCCTGCCTCCCCAGGTGACCTTCCCAACCCCTTCCCCAGTAATTCCTCCCTTCTCCCATGGTACGGTCTCCAGCCCCTTGTCCCAGCTTGCTCTGCACCCTCAGCTTGCTCCCAACCAATGCAGGCAGGATCTTCCCTCTTCCCACCTGGTCCCCAGGTCCCCTTCCCTGGGCACACTTCATCCTCCTCTCCCATTAGCAAGCCACCCCTCCAGCCTGGGCGCAGATCATGTCCCAGGGCTCAGGCAGATGCTTGGAGGAGGAAGAAGTGTTATTTCCTCCCAGACATCAAAGTCTTTGCACTGATTCACCCGAGCTAGAGACCTGTCACCAGCTGGGGACATTCCCTGTGCTGTGAAGGAGCATCAGCACAGCAAAGGGTCCCCCGGGGATTACCCCGCTCTTTCCTCTCTCTTTTGGCAGAAAATAGGATCCTTCTGGAGACCAAAATCCCAGCGCTGTAAGAACAGCAGGATCTTGCCGAGATCCTCCTTCCCCATCTTGGTGTAACCAAGATCCCCCGTGCCCCACCAGCCTGGCATTCTGCGGGCAGACCCCAGCTCTCGCCCCCGCCGCCCCCCAGCTCTCTCATTTCTCTGCGTGCTCGGGGCCAGATGGCTGATGTGCTCCGCGGCTCTGCGCTCCTGCTCGGAGTCCCAGCTGACCACTTTGTTTGTAATAGTCCTCGGAGGGGAATTACAACGAGTATTAAATGTGTGGTTAAAGAAATTGCATTACACAGTGCGACTGTAAGGGAGATGTTTCCCTTTAATCTGTAATCCAGGAAAGTTATTAGTTTAGCGAGCAGAGCGGCTAGGCACGGCATTTCCATTAAGATATAACCCTGAGCAGACCCATCACCTCTGTGCGGGCTGCACCCCTCGCTCCCCGGCGCAGCCCTCGCTTCGCTGTTCCCGGTCGTTTGAACGCCGTTCTCGTGTTAACGTGGGGCTGTTTAACGTTGCGGAAAAGAAAAGGAGGAAAAAAAAAAAAAAAAAAAAACGCCCGACGATGTGCTCCTGTGAAATAATGTTTGTGTCGTGTATCCTGTCCTACAGGTCTATGCAATATTAGTTAGCCACCCTCCTGCTCCCAACGATCACCTAACACCAACACCCGTATCATACACAGCTGGCTTCTACAGGATCCCTGTCATTGGTCTGACAACACGCATGTCTATATATTCCGATAAGGTAACTGATGCATGTTTCTAGTCTAGTACCTCATACGTGTGGTGTAAATCAAGAGTGCCCGTCAGGAGGGTTATTGATGTCTGCACTACCCTGCCTATCTAAGTGTCTGTCTGTCCATCCATCCTCTCCAGTCAAACCAGCAGCTCTCTCTCTCTCTATCCTGCATTCCCCAGTACATGATTTTTCTGCAGCTGCCCGTGTTGACCTACATAGTGCTGGACGATTTCTGCAGCGTTTCTCTGCCAGGCTGCTGGCTTCGCTGCTCGTCAGCCAAGGCAGATGCATGAACTAGCTCCTGCCCTGCTCACTAGTGACATCCGGGGGGGCCCTGGGTGCTCCCTGCGTGCGGGGCCCTGCGGAGAGCCAGCACCATCCTAGAGGAGCCTGTGCATGGGGCAGGAGCTCTCTGAGGCTTGAAGGTTGTTTGGTTGCGTTCACTTCTCTGGGTTTATGTGACATCAGTAGGGGAGATAATAGAATTGACTAACTAGTTATCCCCAGGCTTTCAATGACATTCAGTCCAGCCAGCACTCAAGAAAGACATTCAAATTCCAGCATCTCAAACCATTATCTGCTGACCCTGTGGAAACACGGAGACTTTCAGGCTGGATGAGGTCCTGCCGTGTGTGGGGGCAATGCCCTGGCCTGGGCAATGAGATGCTGCCGTGGCCGGCTCTGCCACCGGGCACTCAGCTCACAGCCCATCTTGCAAAGACGCTTTGTGATGAGTAAAGCAAAAGGAGGAGCTGAGCAGAGCCAGGCAGACCACATGCCATTGCAGCCTTGGGGGAGGTTTACGTCCAGGTGCATGAGCTCAGTGGGTGAGATCAGGCCCGTTTCAAATCACGAATCGGCCTTTGCTTGGAAAATGTGAATATTCACAAATGCAAATGTTCAGTGCAAAAATAGTCACTCCACCTACGTGCTAAATGAAGTCAAATTTCAGGAAGGAGGAGCAGAGGCTCCCGGAGATGCAGCCTGCGGAGCTGCTCGGCTGGAGCAGCAGCAGGTCTTGGCATCTCCCACCATGGTAGGAAAACCAGCAAGGCAAGGCCACGGCAGTGATGGCAACGGTGGCTGCCAGGGCTGGGGACCCGCGTGCCCCGGTAGGATCGGATCAGGCACAGTTAGAAGGGAAGAGATGGTCACGGAGCTGGCAGACAGAGGGAGAGGGCAGGCAGCCGGCTGGAAATGTGCGGGGGGAATCCAGTTTGTGCTGCCATGGGGAGGAGATGGGTCTGATCAGCAATGTCACCGAGAAGGACTTTGTGACGCTGCACACAATGGCGGGGAGAAGGTACCCTGTGTGCTGTCGGTCCAGCTTCATCTCAGCAGAGCTGTGCTCACCGAAGCGAATCGGCCGCCTTTTCCACAGCACGACCTTGTGCTGAGTTTGCGTGCCCACCCTCAGGGGGTGGGATCTTCCCCAGCAGACTCTGCTTCAGCCATCGTTTTCCTATTTAAAACACGTTTTCTGCAAAAGCGGCTCATAAAACCCGCCTGGCTCACTTCAGGGCTGGAGGAGCGTAGCAGCGACCCACTGCAGGGGCAGGGAGATGCTCCCCGCTGGCTGTCTGGGGGTGCTGGGCAGGTGCAGGGCTGCGGGGTGCACTCCCCTGGCAGAGGCTGAGCAGGGAGGTCTCACTGCACGTCTCACCCCTCTGAGCACGCCTGCCTGGCTGGGCTCCTGCTCAGCATCCTTGCCACCAAGGCGGCCAGGGGCTGGAGGACTCCGAGCTCTCTGCAGAGAGGGGAGTTGCAGGCAGGAGATGGGGCAAAGGCAGGGACGGGGTGGGCAGAGGAGCGAGGATGTTGAATAGTGAACTGGCAGGAGCTGGAGGGGACAGCAGAGGTGGGAGTGGAGGGGAGGACAGCAGAGCAAAGGGGTGTGAAGACATGGGACAGGACAGTGCAAGGCTCCGCACACACGTGCAGGACAGGCTGGCCAGTGCACCAGCAGGACGTACAGCTGGTTCCCTTTTTGGTTTTCTAGTGATCAGCTTGCCTTTTTTCTTTTTTTTTCGATTCAGGAAATTATATCTTTCAGCTTAGTTTCTATGGAAACAAGCTTGTAAGATCACTTTGTGTGTATGCCCCTGATTGGTTTTGGAGGCACCAGCCAATTTTAGCTAAATTTCACAGGGGTTTGAAGTCTCAGAGTTAATTATGGTCCTCCCAAGGCTAAGCTGCCAAGGGGAGGAAAGGCGTGGGCTTCAGCACAGAGAGGTTTGCCCAGTACCTTTGGATGCTCTTGGAGCACCTCCAGTCAAGCACAGCGGTCCACGAGCTGTAGCTGGTCTTTCAACAAAGATACCCGAGGGAAGCCAGCATTATACCTGCCAGTATTCAAAGAACCATTTGTTCTAGAAACAGTACTGCAGCTATCAAGCTGAGCACTCTGGCTTGGCAGCTTTTGTTTGGTCTCCTTGTGCGTACATCTTACAAAATCATTACCTGTTTGCTCACCGAGATCCTCACGTCATTCAGCACAGTCCTGCCTGCGTGGTGAGGTGTCCTGGTCACCTCCGAGTGAGGTGAGCAGGGAACTGCAGGAGGAGAGAGGGGGGTCTGACGGTAAAGGTAGCAGAGCGGTACCCATGGCTGTGGTGTCCATCACTACAGAGAGCCCTCTGTGAACTCCTCACGGACTGAGCATTTCAAAAATCACACTCTGACCTTCTCATGCTGGGCCTGCTGAATGGACAGGCTGGACTATTGCTTTAGTGCTTCTGTTCCCCATGTGTCATTGGGGGTATTTATATCTCCTTTGCATCCCAGCCAAAAGGATGAGATGACATTGACGCCTTGACAATACGGGAAATGCGAAATGACACTGAGAACGTGAGAGCAGAGCTCGTGGGGACATGCACAGCTCAAGAGCTGGGAGGGTCTGGTGCCGTTCATCACCACCATGTGGGACCACACCTACGTGATGGGGATGAAGGGACAGGCTGCGTGCCCCGAGGTGCTGAGCTGCCCACCGTCCCACTGTCAGAGAGGCAGTGCAGCGGAGAATCAAGGGTGGCTCTTAACTGAGACCTGCTCTGCTGCTGGAAGAGATGGAAAATGGAGTTTAGCCATTCTGCACTTGGAGAGCCATTCCAACGTCCAGCAGCTGCGCCTGGTAGTTGAAATGGGGTCTGTCTCTCTCCAGCCTGGGCCTGGGGATGGCTTTTCCCTCTGGTTCCTTGTCTCAGTATAACCGTTCCACGCCCTCCCAGGGGTTATTACTCATTGAGAAGGGTATTTTTCTTTATTACTGGCCTCATTGGCAACCGATGCTCAGCAGAAATGGTGTTAGTCATCATGGGAAGCTGCACTGAAAGAGGGGAGAAAAGTGATGCCCCGTGACCGTGGTCAGGGTGTCAGGGTCAGGACCCCTCCACTGACACCTGCAAGAAGTGACTGGAGAGGATGGTTAACGTCACGTAGAGATGTTTGCCCCCGGAATGGGTTTGACAGCCACTGCCGAGCAGCACAGCCGTCAGCAGGGGTGGCCTGCAGTGTGTCAGAGCAGATCATAGAATCAGAGAATCATAGAATAATTTGGGTTGGAAGGGACCTTTAGAGGTCATCTAGTCCAACCCCACTGCAGTGAGAAGGGACATCTTCAACCAGACCCAGTTGCTCAGAGCTCAGATGAGGGGCTCTGCGCGCTGAAGCCCATGCTGATGGCTGTGATGGAGCCCACTCATCCCAGCTGAGGAGAGCTCTTCACAGGCTCTCAGGATTCAAGCTGGGGGTTGGACAGAGCAGCCCCACCACTGTGCAAGGCTGCTGCTGCGGTGCTGGGCTGACAAGTCCTTTCCTCCACACACTGCAGGGGAAAGGCAGACGATGCATTTGTGCCTGAGCTCCCCATATGTCTGCCTGCACTGAAATCCCTCCCAGCACACGTCTAAGCTATTGCAGAGTTGTCTCAGCTCCCTCCCACGCCTGCAGCTATCACGCGGGGCAGTGGGCAGGCTGCTTTCTGGTGGGCTCAGTGACACGTGTGCTGGCTGGCGGGCAGGCTGAGCAGAGCAGGGGGCACAGCAGCCCAGGCTCCTTCCATGGAGACGCTGGCCAAGGCCTCTTCTTCATACCCAGCTGACGATTTTTGCTAAATTATCAGACTCTTTATATATTGGGATCCCTGTCAATCTTCTTGAAACGGCCCAGACAGCTCAGTTTTGGAGTGGGTTGCTAGAAGGGGGACTGACCGCATGATTTCCGTGGGTAATGAAAAAAAAACACATCATTTCCTCAAGACTGTAGGAAAAATTACCAGCCATGGACCATGAGCTGTGATGAACCCTTAGGCAGATAGAGGTAAAGAAAATAGCACTGCTTTCACTCGTGGACCTGTACGTGGTCCATATACGGACACACGTGCACTACCTGCTGGCCCCACAGCCACGCCTGCACACTCCCCATACGTGTGTGCGTCCCCTATGCACACAGACTCCGTCGACAGGCACCCACACGTGCACCCTCCCCCAGGCATGGCGTGGCCACGTGCAGGCTCTTTGTGTGCAGCTATTCGAGCACCCGAGCACGTTCCCTGCATGGGTACACGCACACACACGCCTGCTGCAGGTATGCGCTGGCAGTCGCGCGTACACAGGGTCCTGGCTTTCACACACGCATACACACACACACATGTTCTGCTCAAACTCAGCTCCTCTTCATACGTATCGTATCAACCAAGTCAGCACCGCTAATAATTTGCAGTTCCTAAGAGTCCTGACCCAGCAAGTGTCCCCAGCCTTATAACCCAGTGATTTCAGCTCTAGCCCCATGGGTTTCTTCTGAGCTGATTCCACTTGGAAGCCTGGATTCTGTACCAACCTGTATTTACCTACTTTTTGAAGAAATAGTGAATGAAGGGAGGAAGCACAGGGCTGGGCACTCAGGTTTTGGTGGTGTTAGGAAGATATTGCAGAGAGCTGCTCCTTGGCCCGGGGCTGCTGCCAGCGCGTCCCCCACTCACACCCCAGCCCTCCTGGCTGGCGGCGGGCATGCTTGGAGCAGAGCAAAAGATGTGAATCCTGCAAAACAGCTTTCAAGGTAAACCGCTGATTTGTAATTAGGAGCATTTTTTTCCTGTGTGCCTGATCTGAGGGGAGCGGGTTCTGACCCACGACAGCTCAGAGTTGGAGCGCTTGTAGCAGTGCCTCAGGGATGGTGCTGACAAGCAGTGCAGCTGAAAGGAGAGAACATACTCTGCTGGTGCTCTCACAGAGGCTGTGTTGAAAAATCAGGTCTTTATAACAGTTATTTGCCTAAAAATGGGATAAATATGACGCGTAAATCATTTCGCCCACGTAGCTGGCAGCACAGCCCCATGCTTCCGTGTGCCGCACGGCCAGGAAAGCTCCGTGCTGGGCTGCAGAGGGATTTGACGGAGACCCGTGGGAAGTCACCGCGTCCGCTGGGACGGGGGTCATCAAATCGCACAAAACCCGACCCCCAGCTGGCTCTGCACATCGCAGGCTGGACTTGTTAACCTTTGGGGGACTCTGCTTTCACTTTTCTGCCAACCTTTGGGCTCTGCAGAGGAGTTCAGGAATCCCAGGGGCTTCAAAACTGAGCACAGAATGTGAGTGCTCATCCTGAAATCTAGACTCAGCATTTGCAATTATTTATTCTTCATTATCCCACTTAAAAACCACAGTTCTGTAATCTGGGAGCTGAGATATCATCACAGCAAGTCCATGGCCCTTTAGACACCACTTCAGAAAGCAAATTTGCCTGCACTGTTAAACCAAGTTATTCTCCAGCAACTTTGCAGTAAAATTTGTTCATCTGAACCCAGTGGTATGTACTTACAACACTTAAGAAAGCCACGATCAGTTTACACAGCATTTTTGCGAGCTAGTTGGGAAACTAAAAAATAATTTGATGCAATATATTGAAATTTTATAGCTGGTTTCATTTCAAAAAGTGATTGAAATAATTTTAATTTAGAATTTTTATTCTTTAACAGTTATTTTTCTGTTTTTTTGGGGGCATTTCTCCTGCTCTTCGTGTGATTGGGAATGTTTGTATCAGCCATACAAAAGTGCAGCTCTGAAATGCTTGTTACGGCTCTCCTAGTTCATTTCCTCCTTCAATTAAATGTCTGCAGTTCTTCTCCATCTCTTCGGTAATTAGGAGATCTTTCCAGTGCTTTGGTTTCTTTGCTGCTGCCTCCCTCATCTCTGGGTTTTGGGCCAGGGCAGCAGAACAGACCTGCCGTCCCAGTGCAGAGAGACCTGTCCAGGACAAGGGGTTTGCACGATTTTCTATGTGTTCCATGGTTCGGTGTGACTTTATCACTGTGTTGAGTGTGAGGATTGTCTGGTCTGCCTCTTCCTCCTCTGCATGAGTCCATGGTGGACATGATGCCTTTTCCCCTCCCACATAATTTACTTTGGCCCATCCAGGACATTTATGACCTGGGCTGGGTCTAGCCTCTGGATGAGCAGGTCTAGACAAGCCCTGTTTGGTCCAGAGGACCATCTCAGCCTTGAAAAAAGAAATATTGCACTTCTTTCTTTGTTGTCCTCTCCTGTTCAGACTTCTGCCTCCCTCCAGCACGTAGCTGGTTTGTCAAGTAGCATCCGTGCTGAGCATAAGCACTTTCATTTTCTAATATTCAACTCCAGGGCCATTTGCAAAAGCTGCATTTTTTGAAACCTCTCTGTCAGCTACAGCTTTTGGTCCCATTGCTCCCCTAAGAGTGTTGTACTTAATTAGGCTGGAATTGCTATTGCTTAATCATCCAGCCATAATGATATCTTAACCAAATCAGATAGGTTAGCTGGGGCAAGAGTCCAGAGCTGCCTCCTCCTGTGTGCTGCTGCAGCACAAGCTGACCTAGAAAGAGCCAAACAGCACATTATGAAAGTGCTTTCCTCAACTTGTCTCACGACAAATAACTAACCTATACCTGCATGTACCTGCAACTGCTCCTTCTCACTCTGTGAAGGTAATTAATTTTCTTTTTGATGTCCATTACTCAGTAATACTTTCAAAAAGTCAAGAGGAAAGGCTATATTTGCACTGAATGTGGTTGACAGTTCATTGCTGGATAGGCGTTTCTTCACCGTGCATTTACAGACTGCAAAGCAAAAAACCCTCTTTGCCATGCACTGGATTAACCACAGAGAGGTACGGAATCATAGCCAGGGTTTGCTTCTGAGCCAGAATAAAGCAGTGCAGGTCTCAGAGGCGAGCTCAAGGCGTGCAGCCTAGAGGTCTACCAAAAATTGCTGCTCTGCCTCTTTGGCCTCGCGATCCCAGCCCCGTCCCTGTAAACCTGCCCGGTCCCCGAGACGCACCCCGGCTGACAGCCCAACCAGTCTATGTTGAGCTCTTGTTCTTCCTTGCAGAGCATCCACCTGTCCTTCTTGCGCACAGTCCCACCGTACTCTCACCAGGCCAACGTCTGGTTTGAGATGATGAGAGTCTTCAACTGGAATCACGTCATTCTGATAGTCAGTGACGACCACGAAGGTCGTGCTGCACAGAAGAAGCTGGAGACCCTCTTGGAGGAGAGAGAGTCCAAGGTCAGTTCCTGAACATTGTCTTGTAGCTTTGTTTAAGCAACAACAACAAAACTAGAAGTCTCGGGCTGTTGTATGTATGTAGATTTCTGTATGTAAAACACCTTTTCTTTCCATTGTAACATGGCTAACATGCTTAAAGCATCAACAGTGTCTGACTAGTACCTGACAGAACTTTGTACTTTATTCATTTCACTTGCTTTGCCATGGTCAAAATCTCCTACATGTAAATCGACTACAAAATGAAGGGAAGGATAACCTGGAGCTCTGCAAATGCCTCGCCCAAGATTCCCACCCAAGGAGAGGACCAGTCGCTCAGCTTAGGGAAGCATCTGCCCCGCTCCAGCCACCCAGGGGCCAGGCAGACCCAGCAGTGCCAAACCAACCCCGAAAAGCAGCTTCTGAATTGGCTAACTGGAGCTCACCTTAGTGGCTTAGGAGGGGCGAGGGCAGCCGGCACGTTGATGCACGGAGGTGTAATGCACCCTCTCTATAAAGCTGTCAGCTCTGCGGCTGTGGGCTGACGCCCCCGTTCCCATCTCCATCGAAGCCCATGCCAAACGCTGCTTTCCTGACACCCCATGCTGTTACGAGAGGGCGGCTGTGGCTGGCGGGAGCAGCTTTATCGAGGAGGTGCACTGCACCTGCACTCAGGGCCAGCCGGGGGAGCAGGGCGGGAGGCAGGAGAGGTCCCCGAGCCTGCTAGAAATTCAGGAGGACTACCATCAACCTGCTGCCGCTGAGTAGAAGGACCAAGCAAGCATTCAAGACGAGCAGGGAAGGAGAAGACAGGGAGCTGTTCGGCTGCAGCGCTTCGAAGGCAGGCACCTGTCTGGAAGGCAAGGAAACACCTCCTGCTCTACGGGGTGAAGTCCCAGCACATCCTCTTGCCCGGGACAGGGTGAGCTCCTCTTTGGGTGGGCAGAGTCCAAGCCAATCTCCAAGTCTCCAACAGCCGCAGGGCAAGAACCTGTTGCTGGCTGTTCCCTCCTGGGTCCACAACCTGCTCTTCTCCAGCCCCACCAGCAGCTGCTGGAGGTTTGGCTGTTGAGTAGATGTGGCCGTAGACACTTCTTGTGTTTCGAGTTGGTGGCGGAGGCGC